CCTCAGAATTCGTCACTATCGGTTTGCGCTCGGCTCCGACAATAAAGCTTCGGTAGATTGAACTCGCTTCGAGTACTTCTTGCACTGCACAGCACTTGCTCCACTTCACTAATTGCTACTTGCTACCATCTAGGAATAAGACCCTCACTCGTGTCTTCAGGCACGGTACATTGCAAAAATACTACTTGGCTTCATTTAATTTATTAGTGCTCTTGTGCCCCTCGCTGTGTTCTGTTTTTGGATGCTAGCATCAGCAGGCAGGTCTTTTTCCCGAAAGAAAAAGCTCCTTAGCTTATTGGAAATATTCTGCGTACACACAGTTCCGAGATCAGAAGCTCGGTCATTTTTGCGTTGGGTCAAGAATCATCTTTCGCCAGTGGTATCTCCCATTTTGATGTCTCGCTTTGGAACTATGCCTTTTTTCTGCTAAGATAATGTCGTCAGCGCACAATACCAGGAAATGCTTTCTTTTCTGAGCAGTCCGGATCAAGAGCGGGAATCTCCTAAAAAGCACAATTGTGATATCTCCTTCCTTTGAGGTGTGTTTCTAGTAAGAGCTCTTGATCGCAGTAGTCTTCATGAAAACCATTGAAAATCTTCCTGGAATTCGTAGAACCAACGTTTTTAAGATTATGTTCTCATCCCTATCTCGTGATAACCACGAAGATCAAAGTGAACCTCAGGACATGAATCTGACCGCGACTAGGCGACTCTGACTTGTCTCCCTCCACTGCTCTAGGTTTCCTTCAAAGAACGTAACGCAGACCATACGCAGGAACTTCTCTCTCTCTCTCAGAAATCTTTTTCTTTATCTCAGTCTCTGACTTCCGTTGCGTAAAAACTTCCGTGTTGATCACATGACCATTCCGACTACCAGTTGATGAGACAACCATATTCCGCAACAACAGACAGACAACCATAGTTCAGGCTGTCTGAGAGTAGGAGGGTGATGAGCAGTCGATTCTAAATTTCACTTCGCAAAGCCTACGCTCAAAGTTATAGGTTATTTCCCGGCATGATGTAGCGCTCAGTGCAGTTTCTTCCCACCAAGATTACAACATGTGACCGATGTGAAACTGAGGACGACCAGGTGAAAATCCGATTTGCACCCATAACATCAAACAGACGATGTGTGATTTGTCCAAAATTATTTGGGGAAAAAAGTGAAGTATGAAGGTCGATTTCGACGGCGGTTTCATGAAAACCGAGCTTCTGGTGCAGTAGCTGCTCAATGGTGCACTCTAGATTTTTTCAGCTGCCTTCTGGCCCTGAAAATCGGGATAGTTTGAAGAAAAAGTTTTTATCACGAGGGCGCTGAGTGAAGGCGGTCAGCGGGAAATGCGGAATTGGGTCCCGCCTGATGTCTAACTATTGTCCTTTGCTCAGCATTCTTGTCATAACCTTTACACCTCTACGGCGTTGAACAGCACTCATTGTACTTTAATGACCTCAAAAAAAGTTGGTGTTACATAACATAAAACGCCTAGACTCGGTTTCGTGGCAGCCACGAGATTTCGTTCATTTTCTCCGGGGTGGTTTGCTGTCTTCATCTTCGATGCTAGTTGATTGATTGTTGAGGCCCACGTGAATATTATTATGTGGTGGTCCGCCTTCAGTGCACTGTATAAATACACGGATGAGCAGCGGCAAGCAGCATTCCGCTTCATCCGCTTCACTCTGCTTATACGTGCTGAATTGTAAGAAGACTTTCCGTGCGAGACCAGTCAGTGCGGCTCGTAGATAGGACACGCACAGCTGCAGTGTTATCTACTTGCCCATCCTCTATCTATGGCTGGCTATATCGACAATTCAGACTGCTTGACGCAAGTCCTTCGCCCCTTTCCTTTGAAGTCTCGAGAAAATTTTCAGTGTTCGGTGGCAACAACTCATTAGCCACTATTGTACGCTCTTTAACGACCTAGCGTAATGTTCTGAGACCTGGCGCGAGAGGGATTGCCTTGATTTATCTCGTAATCCTTTCTGATGCGCAGATAGAAATCTACTTCTCCTACGTTCTGCGACTTTCTCTTCTCTTCCTCCAGGAGGAATTTCGCTCTTTTTTAGAATGGCTGACGTGAAGAAAGCATGTACGGCGAATTTGGCAACGGTTGGACTTGGTAGAACACCCAAGGAGGCACAAAACGGCATAGATTTCTACAAGTAGTGAGTGGAGATTTCAGTGGGCCATTCTCGCTAAAAACCGAATGCGGAAACTTCAGCTTGTTCACTAACCACCAAGATCTCCGCAAGTACTTCAAAGGTGCGGA